AGTTATAGGATTTTGCCAGCTACTACTAAGTGTTGTGCCATTGGCTAATTTTATGGTGATTATAGGCTAATAATACTAATGCTACTACTGCTAATGTCTACTTCAACTGCTGCTAACACTATTACTGCTGCTGCTACAGTGTACTTCCTTTGTTTCTTTTTCTCTGCATTCTGTAGCTCTCGCCCCTCAGTACAGTATTTATCCTCTGTCTCCTGTGGCCGCTTTCAATAACGGTGGAGTGAGCCAGAGGATGCCCCACTAGAGGATCTGGAGTAGGATGCTATGGCCATCGCGCTAACCCCTCTTCCAGTTCCTTGCTCATGATTGCCCAGCTGCAGGTTCCAGCTTCAGCCTCACATCTCCCGGACCTGGGGTGGCCACTAACATCATAAACGGTGTTGAAGAAGGTCAGGTAGGCTCTCCATATCCTGGAAGGGATGCCAAAGGCACAGACTGTGTTTGTGCCACCCGGATCCCTTCCGGGCCGACTCAGTGACCCCTGCCGGTTCACCTCAGGACCACAAGGCACTAGTGTTGCCAGCTCCTGCTGCCCCAAATCCATCGACAGCGATAGTCTCCCAACTCAACCCAGGTCCAACTAGACCTTCCTCGTGGGCCGGACCTGCAGCAGCTAGCACTCTCCAGTTCTTGTCTCAATGACTGTAGGGCCCGCAGCTTCATATGTTCCCGAGTTTCTGTCCCACCTTCCCTCCAGATCTCAGGCCTTCCTCAGTCCTGGTCCCTGTGTCTTTCCATCAGTGGCATTCCCTTGGCCTGTCCTCCCTGGTGACCTGTCAGTGATCCATACTGCCCTAGTCCCCAAGTCCTGTTCCCAATGGTGTTCCTCATTTTGTTGACCTGTGTTTGGTGTCTTATGCTCCCTCTGTCTGACCTGATTCCCCATTGGTTCATTGCTCTGTTGCCATCTTCCCTGGTCACTGGGTCTCACTGATGTCTGATCTTGTGTGGTTCCTGGTCCTCGGTCCCATTGGCTTTTTGTAAATGTCATGTTCCCCAGCACCAGCTCCACCCATTCCACCTGCTTGTCCTAGTCCTCTTGTTGTTTCACAGCCTAGCCCAGTCATCCCTTTCATCTCTTTTTGCTGGCTAATGATATAATCCCTACGGCAACAATAAAGACCTTTGCTAACCGAAAACCATGGGTGGATAGAACTATCCGTGAGGCAGTGAACGCATATAATGCGGGACTCACCACCGGCGATATGAACGCTTACAAAGCTGCTTCATATGGAGTTCGGAGTGTTGTAAAGGACTTGAAACGCTGGTACCGGGAGCGCGCAGAGTCGCACTTCCACCAGGGTGACACAGACTAAATGTGGCACAGACTGCACACAATCACGATAAATAACAATAAATGCACTGCAGCTGCAAGCGTTTTCCCAGAAACCTAACACATTCTATTCCTGTTTTGAGGCTAATCATGCTACTGCTAGCCACACAGCTAGCAAGAGCTATTACTTGCTAATGGAGTGCGGTGACATCATCATCATCGCAGAGTGTGACGTGCACAGGACGCTGCAGAGGGTCAACATCAGGAAAGCGCCTGGATCGGACAGCATCTCTGAGTGCCTGCTGTGCTGTGCTGTGTCTTCACCTCTATCTTCAACGAGTCTCTGGCTCAGTCTGTCCTCACATGCTTTTAAAGACCCACCAGCAGCGGTCCTACATTCCTGTCAACATCAATGGGACTGCAGTGGAGAGGATGAGCAGCTTCACGTATCTGGCCAAGGACTTTACATACAAAAGTCCTGTCTAAAAAGCCAAGGCAGCGTCTTTACCTCCCGAGACACCTGAGGAATTTTCGGGTCTCTCCCATAACCCTAAGGACTTTTTACTCTGGTGCTGTGGAAAGTGTCTTGACTGAGAACATCACCTCCCGGTTTGGGATCAGATGTGTCCAGGACATTAAAGGTGCACAAGTTCGGATCTACAGTCTCTGCAGGTCATTTACTGTAGATGGAAGACCAGAGCCACCAGGATCTGTCCGTCCATCCATTGAACTGTTCCACCCTCCTTTCACACTTTCATGTGCTCTGTCCCGCCCTATAACTACAAAAAATGAAGTTGCAACATCTTCAGAACTAAAGACTTCTCTCTCCAAAACCAGTATCACTGGGTTTTGGCTACTTTCCTGTTCAGTTCTCAAGGTAAGACGAACAATATTTTAGTAAAACGATTTTAGTTCCTTTTGTAGCAGTTTATGATTTTTAATTCCAGTGTGACATGCTAAAGACCAAAGTAAAAACAATATTAAAAAACAAATTAATAATTTTAAATCACTATAATCAGCCACATAAGAATGTCGCTGTCTTTTCGTGGGTGTCTCAGTGTTCCTCTGTGAGCTGTTGTGACCAGTGGTAGGCAAACAGGCAGGAAGCGGGGAAGGATGAG